GGCGCCTACGCGGGGCTGCACAACCTCCCCCCGCAGATGAGCGCGGCCGCCGCCGCCGCCGCCGCCTACGGCCGGGCGCCAATGGTGAGCTTTGGAGCTGTACGTAGCACTTTCAGCTGCTTTCTCCCCGGGGGGAGGCCGGGGAGGTTGGGGTTCCTCCTCGAAGCCGGCTGTGGGAGGGTGATTCCTGCTGGGGTGACGTGCGCGTGCCGGCGGCTTGGGGCTGCTCCTTCCCGTTCCTCGGCCCCCTCGCCCCGCTCCTCGACCCCCTTCCCGTTCCTCTCTCTCAACTCCTGGGTTAAGGCAGAGCAAGGAGTCAAACACTGCCCTTAAACTTGGGGGTTTCTGCCGTTAAAGTTGGGGGTTTCTGCCGTTAAACTTCGGGGTTTCTGCCGTTAAACTTCGGGGTTTCTGCCGTTAAACTTTGGGGTTTCTGCCGTTAAAGTTGGGGGTTTCTGCCGTTAAACTTTGGGGTTTCTGCCATTAAAGTTTGGGGTTTCTGCCATTTAAGCAGAGATTGGGGTTTCTGCTGTTAAAGCAGAGATTGGGGTGTCTGCCATTAAAGTAGAGATTGGAGTTTGTGTCACTAAAGCAGAAATTGGGGTTTCTGCTATTACAGTTTGGGGTTTCTGCCATGTAAGCTGAGATTGGGGTTTCTGCCATTAAAGTAGAGATTGGAGTTTGTGTCATTAAAGCAGAAATTGGGGTTTCTGCCATTAAGGCAAACATTGGGGTTTCTGCCGTTAAAGCAGAGACTGGGGTTTCTGCCATTAAAGTTTGGGGTTTCTGCTATTAAAGTTGGGGGTTTTTGCCATTAAAGCAGACATTGGGGTTTCTGCCACTAAAGTTTGGGGTTTCTGCCATTAAACCTGACACTGGGGTTTCTGCCATTAAAGTTTGGGGTTTCTGCTATTAAAGTTTGGTGTTTCTGCCATTTAAGCAGACATTGGGGTTTCTGCCATTAAAGTAGAGTTTGGGGTTTCTGCCATTAAAGTTTGGGGTTTCTGCCATTAAAGTTTGGGGTTTCTGCCATTAAAGTTTGGGGTTTCTGCCATTAAAGCTGACTTTGGGGTTTCTGCCATTAAAGCTGACTTTGGGGTTTCTGCCCTCGGGGTGCTGGGCATGACAAGGCTGATCCCATCCCTGGGGGCTTGGTAACCCCACGGGGACAGGGAGCGTGTCCCACGTGCTCCTTGCAGACCCTGCTTCCTTGGCTGGCTCCCCTTGGTGCCAGGGCAAAGGCCAGCTCTCTCTGAGCTGCCCGGGGCTCAGGGATGGGGAGCTGCGTGCCATTCCCAGCCTCACCTGTCCCTGCATCTCCCGGCAGGTCGGCTTTGACCCTCACCCGCCCATGCGCGCCCCGGGCCTGCCCTCCAGCCTGGCGTCCATCCCTGGAGGCAAACCGTAAGCCCCGCTCGGGTTTCCGCGGCCGGGAGGGAGGCGGGAGTCCCCACGAGCTCCGTCCCCGGAGCTGAGCCCCGTCCCCACCCTGGCAGGGCCTACTCGTTCCACGTGAGCGCCGACGGGCAGATGCAGCCGGTGCCGTTCCCGCACGACGCGCTGGCGGGGCCGGGCATCCCGCGGCACGCGCGGCAGATCAACACGCTGAGCCACGGCGAGGTGGTGTGCGCCGTCACCATCAGCAACCCCACGCGCCACGTCTACACCGGCGGCAAGGGCTGCGTCAAGATCTGGGACATCAGCCAGCCCGGCAGCAAGAGCCCCATCTCCCAGCTGGACTGCCTGGTGAGGGAGGGCAGCCCTGGCGTTCGTCTTCTCCCCGTGAACGTCGGCCTCTCCTCCCCGCGTTGCCGTCCGTGTTCCCCTTTCCTCTTCCCCCTTAACGCCTCTTGCTCTTCCCCGTTACCAGCTCTTTGTCTTCCATCACTTTCTCCTCTTGCCATCGCCTCTTTTCCCCCTTTAAATTTCCCTTTTCCTCTTTCCCCATCCATGTCCCTTTTCCTCTTTTCTCGCCTCGTTGCTCTCCTCCCATGATGGTGCCTTTTCCTCCTCTCCCATCAGCGTGCCTTTTCCTCTTCTCCCATCAATCTCCCTTTTCCTCTTCTCCCATCAGCGTCCCTTTTCCTCTTCTCCCATCAATGTCCGTTTTCCTCTTGTCCCATCAATGTGCCTTTTCATCTTCTCTCATGATGGTCGCTTTTCCTCTTCTCCCACTCCCTTTCCTCTTCCCTCTCCCTGTCCCTTTTCCTCTCCCTTTTCCTCTCTCCAACATTCATTTTCCCCCATCAACGTCCATTTTCCTCTTCCCCTATGATGGTCCCTTTTCCTCTTCCCTCCATCAGTGTCCCTTTTCCTCTTCTCCCACTCCCTTTCCTCTTCCCTCTCCCTGTCCCTTTCCCCTCCCCATCCCTTTCCCCTCCCCATCCCTTTCCCCTCCCCATCCCTTCCCCTCCCCATCCCCTCCCTCTCCCCCGTGTCCCGTCCCTCTCTGCCCGCTGACGGCGCCGTGTGTCCCCAGAACAGGGATAACTACATCCGCTCCTGCAAGCTGCTGCCGGACGGGCGCACGCTGATCGTGGGGGGCGAGGCCAGCACGCTGACCATCTGGGACCTGGCGTCGCCCACGCCGCGCATCAAGGCCGAGCTGACGTCCTCGGCGCCCGCCTGCTACGCGCTGGCCATCAGCCCCGACGCCAAGGTGTGCTTCTCGTGCTGCAGCGACGGCAACATCGCCGTCTGGGACCTGCACAACCAGACCCTGGTCAGGTGAGCGCCGCCGGCCTGCTGCTGGCAGGGCTGCTGGCCTGGGGGGCCTCGGGGTCCGTCTGTCCCAGCTCCTTCCTTCCTCCTTCTGTCCACGCTGCTTTTCCATCCCGCCCCGCGACGTGCCTTTTCCTCTTCCCCACAGCATCCCTTCTGTCAGCGTTCCTTTTCCTCTTCCCCACAGCATCCCTTCTCCTTCTGTCAGCGTTCCTTTTCCTCTTCCCCACAACATCCCTTTTCCTCTTCCCCACAGCATCCCTTCTCCTTTTGTCAGTGTAGCTTTTCCTCTTCCCCACAACATCCCTTTTCCTCTTCCCCACAGCATCCCTTCTCCTTTTGTCAGTGTTCCTTTTCCTCTTCCCCACAACATCCCTTCTCCTTTTGTCAGTGTAGCTTTTCCTCTTCCCCACAACATCCCTTTTCCTCTTCCCCACAGCATCCCTTCTCCTTTTGTCAGTGTTCTTTTTCCCTTTTTCCCTTTCCCCCACAATGTCCTTTTTCTTCTCCTTCTGTCAATGTAGCTTTTCCTCTTCCCCACAACATCCCTTCTCCTTTTGTCAGTGTTCCTTTTCCCCTTCCCCACAATGTCCTTTTTCTTCTCCTTTTGCCAGTGTTCCTTTTCCCATTTTCTCTTTCTCCCACAATGTCCCTTTCCTTCTCCTTTTGTCAGTGTTCCTTTTCCCTTTTCTGCACAATATCCCTTCTTTTGTCAGTGTTCCTTTTCCTCTTCCCCACAACATCCTTTTTCTTCTCCTTTTGTCAGTGTTCCTTTCCCCTTTTCCTCTTCCCCCACAACATCTCTTGTCCTTTTGTCAGCATTCTTTTCCCCTTTCCCCTGCAACATCCCTTTCCTTCTCCTTTTGTCAGTGTTCTTTTTCCCCTTTTCCCCTTTCCCCCACAATGTCCCTTTCCTTCTCCTTTTGTCAGGGTTCCTTTTCCTTTTATCAGTGTCCCTTTTCCTCTTCTTTTTTTCAATGTTTTCCTCTTCTTTTATCAACATCCCTCTTCCTTCATCAATGTCTCATTTCCTCTTTCCCCATCCCATTGCCATCCCTTTTCCTCTTCTCTCTCGTCATGGTCCCTTTCCCTCTTCTGCCCATCATGGTCCCTTTCCTCTTTTCCTTGAGCAAAACCACCTTCCACTCTCCCAGCTTGCTCCAAGCCCCATCCAGCCTGGCCTTAAACATTCCCGGGATGGGGAATCCACCGTCCTCTCTGGGCTGGAGCCAGGAACACCCTCTGGTGAGGCCGCACCATCTCCCGGTGCTCATCCCTACACCAGCCCAGTCCTTGGCCAGGCTGCTGCTCCTCAGCCCGGGATGGATTGCCAGGAACATTCCCTGCGGACCAGCCGCGCAGACGTGGTCCGAGCTTTTCCCGGTGGGAATTCCATGGGGTTTTTTTCCCCTGCTCCCAAGGCAATTCCAAGGGCACACGGACGGGGCCAGCTGCATCGACATCTCGCACGACGGGACGAAGCTGTGGACGGGGGGCCTGGACAACACCGTGCGCTCCTGGGACCTGCGCGAGGGCCGGCAGCTGCAGCAGCACGACTTCACCTCCCAGGTGGGCACGGGCAGCGGGCTCCTGCTGCCCTGGCTCCCGGAGGGGCTCTTCCTGCTGGGGGCTCCCAGCCCGCCTCTGCCCGCTGCTTCTGGGGTGGCCCAGGGGTGCTGGAGCCATGGGGCTCCCTGGGTCTTGTGCCAGCTCCTCTTTTCCATCCCGGCAGGGTGAGGCAGCAGCTCTTCTCGTGGGGTGCCCGTGGATGTCACGGGGTTCTCTGGGTGCCCTGTGGATGGCATGAGAGCAGGGATCAGCCCTGATCCAGAGGAACAGAGCTGGTGTCCCGTTGGCAAGGGCAGCATTGTCCATGGGGATGGAGCCATCCCAACGCAGGCATCTGCCTCTGCCCACCCGCTCCATCCACCTGGGGCTGGCCAGCACCTCCAGCGGTGCCACAGATCCCAGACCTCGGGCACTGGGCTGGGGGGAGGCACCCTGAGGATCTCTCAGGCCGGGAATTCCCGCTGACGTGGCCGTCTCTTCCCGCAGATCTTCTCCCTGGGGTACTGCCCGACGGGCGAGTGGCTGGCGGTGGGCATGGAGAGCAGCAACGTGGAGGTGCTGCACCACACCAAGCCCGACAAGTACCAGCTGCACCTGCACGAGAGCTGCGTCCTCTCCCTCAAATTCGCCTACTGCGGTGAGCAGCCCCTGGGACAGCTGGGACAGGGATGGGCATCACCGACTTGGGGAGTGGTTTGGGTTGGGAGACACCTCCAGGCTCAGCTCCGGGCACCTTCCACCTGACCCCCTCCTCATGGATGGGATCGTGGGATCATGGAATGTTTGGGGCTGGGAGGAGCCTTGAGTTGGGGGACACCTCCCTCTCAGTCCCAGGGTGCTCCAGGCCCCACCCAGGCTGGCCATGGGCACTTCCAGGGATGTCCATGAGCTGCAGGGGGGATGAGCTCGGGTGTTTCCAGCAGGATCCATCCCATGGGTGCTGCACGTGGGGGTTATTCCCGTGAACACATCCTGGTTGTGGTGGGGTTTATCCCCATAGAACCATCCTGTGGTTATTCCCATAACCCCATCCTGGTTCTGGCAGGGTTTATTCCCATAACCCCATCCTGGTTGTGGGGTTTATTCCCATAACCCCATCCTGGTTCTGGCAGGGTTTATTCCCTGGGTTATTGGTTCTGGCAGGGTTTATTCCCTGGATTATTCCCATAAAACCATCCTGGTTGTAGGGTTTATTCCCATAACCTCATCCTGGTTCTGGCAGGGATTATTCCCTGGGTTATTCCCATAACCCCATCCTGATTCTGGCAGGGATTATTCCCTGGGTTATTCCCATAACCCCATCCTGGATGTGATGGAGGTTATTCCCATAACCCTGTCCTGGTTCTGGCAGGGTTTATTCCCTGGGTTATTCCCATAAAACCATCCTGGTTCTGGCAGGGTTTATTCCCATAACCCCATCCTGGTTGTGGGGTTTATTCCCATAACCTCATCCTGGTTCTGGCAGGGTTTATTCCCTGGGTTATTGGTTCTGGCAGGGTTTATTCCCTGGATTATTGCCATAAAACCATCCTGGTTGTGGGGTTTATTCCCATAACCTCATCCTGGTTCTGGCAGGGTTTATTCCCTGGGTTATTCCCATAACCCCATCCTGGTTCTGGCAGGGTTTATTCCCTGGGTTATTGGTTTTGGCAGGGTTTATTCCCTGGGTTATTGGTTCTGGCAGGGTTTATTCCCTGGATAATTCCCATAACCCCATCCTAACTGTGGCCACGGAGCACCACCGGAGGTGGGAATCCACACTTGGATTCTTCCAGCTGAGTCAGGCTGGGCAGGACTCCCAGGGAACCTCCAGGTTTTCCCATTTCCCCCAAACCTCTGGGCTCAGCCAGCCTGTGGGGCCGGGGAAGGGTCGGGGAGGTGGCACTGCCAGCATTCGGCTGCTGATCCCAAATTCCTGGTGCAGGGAAGTGGTTTGTGAGCACTGGGAAGGACAACCTGCTCAACGCCTGGAGGACGCCCTACGGAGCCAGCATCTTCCAGGTAGGGGAGCTGGGTGGGGTGGGGGCTGCTCCCAGATCCCCCTTCCCAACTACCCTGGAGAGAGGGGAGATCCTTGGGGATGGCTGGAGGGGTGTCGGGGTGCCGGGTGTGGTGCTGCCCCCAGCATGGGTGCTGCTGAGGGATCCTGGAATCCCACCCCACTGCTGGGCTCTCTGTCTCCCACCCTGCTGGGCTCTCTGTCTCCCACCCTGCTGGGCTCTCTGTCTCCCACCCTGCTGGGCTCTCTGTCTCCCACCCTGCTGGGTTCTCTGTCTCCCACCCTGCTGGGCTCTCTGTCTCCCACCCAGCTGGGCTCTCTGTCTCCCACCCAGCTGGGCTCTCTGTCTCCCACCCTGCTGGGCTCTCTGTCTCCCCCATTTCTGAGTTCTCTGTCTCTCCCTGACCTCTCTGGGTTCTCTCTCTCCCACTCAGGTGTTCTCTGTCCAAACCGTGCTGGGTTCTCTCTCTCCCACCCCTGCTGGATTCTCTCTCTGACATCCTGGTGGTTTTCTCTCTCTCACTGAGGAGTTCTCTCTCCCACTGCTGGGTTCTCTTTCTCTCCCATCCTCCTGGGTTCTTTCCCCCACTGCTGGATTCTCTCTCCCACCTCTCTGGGTTCTCTCTCTCCCATCCTGCTGAGTTCTCTCTTTCCCTCACTGATGGATTTTCTCTCTCCGATCCTGCTGGGTTCTCTCTTTCCCTCACTGATGGATTTTCTCTCTCCCACCATTCCGGGTTCTCTCTCTCACATCCTGCTGGGTTTTCTCTCTTCCACTGATGGATTCTCTCTCTCCAACCCCTGGGTTCTCACTCTCTCGCACTGACAGATTCTCTCCCCAACCCTGCTGGGTTCTCTCTC